TATTTAAAAATCTGTAGTACAAGACCTGTATTTGATATTCTTATAGTAGCTAATTGTTGTTACAATATCAACACGAAGTCTTTCTTTTTCTTTAGTTGCATTTGGTATTGACAAAATCTGTGCTATTTTTCAATAAGGATAAGATCTTCCAAACCATATCGGGGATGTAGAATTGTTTCTGGATTCATAAAGTCATAAATCAATAAATTAAATTTATTTTTTGACATAATACGTTGCTTTACGTTGTATTATACGAATGTCTGCCACGATCTGATAAGAATCACTTACAAAACTGTTTTATATACCAAACGGAGTAAACCAGATATCTACACGGAAATTATTTGATGGAAAATCATCCCATTCTAACTTCGTTTCATTTGTATCAGAACAGGAAAATTGTAGAATTTCATGACTAGAAAGCATCGTCCTGGTTGGTCAAAACGAGTTATTTCATTACAGGGAAGGGTATATTATCGCTAATGAGGAAATCAGTTGTCTGAACACATCAAAAACTAAAGATTTTACGTGTGTATATAGATATATACAGAGAATATTGAGGTCAGAGGCGACAATGTGTCTATCCCGTCTTCCTATTTTGAGCCACAATCATTTCAACTAACACAACATGTGGTTACAAATTTCGTTCCGTTCGATCTGCATTAGACTTACTATTTTATTATATCATGCCTTCTGAAACATTTTAATAATTCACGCATACTCTACGAGCACCTGTGTATATCTATAAGAACGACAACACTGGTTTTTTTGTTGAATCCACTTTCGTCCATAAACTGAACTTGAACTTGATGATGTGGTCTTTGCTATCTTCGATACTCCATGAGTTAGGATCGGTCACTTTCGCTCTCTGCACCCCTGGATCATGTCATGGCAAAGTTAAAGGTTCCACGTGCGAAACCTTTTAAACAAGACGTAAAGACATGTAAAGAGATGCAGCGAGCAAGATGTGATCATAACCCCTGGATTATCGGCAATGGGTTCGCCAGTAGGCGGTATGTACCTGTGTAAATTTCCTGTTTAATTGTGTAAAGGACCATGCATAAGTCGCTTACGTGTCACACTAAATCCTACAAAGTACAACATCTCTCCTGACAACGGAGAAACGTCACGATTCTAACATGTTTATTTCCCTCATACAGAATGTTTATCACTATAGAGATCCATGAGTTATATAAATATTTCATTAGGTTTGGCATTTGCAGTTTTATGCGATGAAGTAGCAGATGATATCTCATCTGATACACAATTTCCATAAAATTCAGTTCCAGACGGTTGCCTCCATGCTGAAATTGAATCGCTCGGAACCTCATGGGGACCGTTGGGGTGGCATCTCCTGCAGCGTACACTCGTTTTAGTTGTAAAAATTGTAGAGTTGTAAATTTCAGTTATCAAATATTTTGTTGATGATATATGGACATTGCGCCCATATAACATTACTTACTTGGATTAACCAAGGTTTACATGGTGGGTGTCGTAAATGAAGCAGAAGACGCTTGTCCTCCAGGAACATTCTACCTGTTCTTTTTCACGAATCTCCTTTTAAATCTTTCGTTTGTTCATAATTTCCCGTAGGTTTATTTAACTTTTGTTTTAATTATGAGTATGTTCATATTTTTGTATTTTATTAAAGAATTTGATACAGATGGAATCCTGATCAAGAAAACACATGAATCATGGGTGATGCTGGTCAGGGATACGTGAGTAGCCGAGGCACTCCGAAGTGCAGCAAATGAACACGACAAATGGACAGGGAGAAATAAAAGATGAACAGTTCCGTGATACAGTCAAAACCCTACACCACGATCACATGGCCAAATGGACAGTACGTCCAGGAATTATTGGGAAAAGTCTAATGTGAAATTGTACATGTCACCTCTACAGATATTGACCACTTGAATTATAGCCTGGGATGAAAATATGTATAAGGACTAAGACGAAGTAAGTAGGCTTGTTGAAAATAAAATTGTGTCATACAAGTGGTAGCGTGGCTAAAGTATGGTGATTAGTCCAGGTTGTGACTCGGAGCGTACCAAAAGCCAATACAGAAAACAAATGTCAGCATTCGTCTGATGTCGCATACGCTTGGCAGTTTTCTTGGATATTGACGGTCACATGAGGAAGCATAGTTTATGTAGAGCTACAAGCTGCATAGATTATACCATAACCAAACAAAGTCTATGTTAAATTCGCAGCTAAACAGGAATGATTCAAAATCTCAGTAGTAGTGATATTGTTGAGGAATGGAGTTGCCATGAGCAGAGAACGAGCGCCCATTTCAAATCGGCAGTCACAGACATTATGTTCATTCAATTTATATTAAACCGAAACTTCTTGAGAAAAGGCTCGAGATAAGTATATCGGAAATGGAAAGAAACGTATTGCAGATTTTGTTATGGCGGGTTGAGTCTAACAAGTTGCAGTGTCAAGAAACATGTGTAACATGACGACTAGACATTGCAACAGACTGCTCTAATGTATAAATCATATTTAAAAAAACGCCATTCCTGTGCCACAAACTTTGAAACTTTCATAAGAGATGCATGTAATTATATATGTCCTACCTTCAACTATACCAGCAAAGTGATGACATGATGTTAATGTGAGAGCAATACCTGAGACCCACGTACCGAGGTGTGAGAGCAATAACTGAGGCAGTGACCCACGTACCGATGTGTGATGCCAATAACTGAGGCAGAGACCGACTCACAGAGGTGTGAGATCAATAACTGAGACAGAGACCCACGTACCGAGGTGTGAGAGCAATAACTGTGGCAGAGACCCACATACCGATGTTTGAGAGCAATAACTGAGGCAGAGACGCATGTACCGAGGTGTGAGAGCAATAACTGAGACAGAGACCCACGTACCGAGGTGTGAGAGCAATAACTGAGACAGAGATCCACGTACCGAGGTGTGAGAGCAATAACCGAGTCAGAGACCCACGTACCGAGGTGTGAGAGCAATAACTGAGGCAGAGACCCACGTACCGAGGTTTGAGACCAATAAAATGCATTTCATCCAACCTTGTTGTGAAGAGCCCATATACCACAGTGTAAGACTGAAAACTGCTATATGCAATTGCTTAACAAATGATATCCACCGCTCCAGAGGGGCCACTTTAATATATAGGTAAAAGATCAGAACTATTTTTATTATACACATGAAGTAGAGATATTTCAGGAATATATCATATATGTTTGTGTCCCTCTAGATTACACTATATTAGTCAGTAGTGTAGGTGGAAAATGTCAGTTCTGCCGGTGGCAATTAGTTATGATGAAACAAAATACATTGTCAAGGATATCCCCGGCTCGGGAGACAAGTCAGGATGGTATTCTTTATTGGCAGTGTATATTACATTGTTCAGGACCAAAGGTTGTTGTATAGTGAGCTGAACAGAAAGCCTGAAAATTCTTGATGAGTATTTCAAAGTCTACATTCGAGTACAAGTAAGAATGTCTTCGCCTCTGTCCTATTTTAAAGTTCTGCTGATTTTTTTTATAATTGTTTTAGTAGCTGGCAACCTGCAAGGTTCTCACTATAGAAAATATTCAAAGTTGAAGTCATAAATTTCATATAAAATCGAATCACATCGCTAATGTTACTAATTAGTTATCGAGATTATCGTTAAGTTATGAATGTTCTGAAGCCCGATATGTACAACTTATTCATGTTCACTGATTCCAACAATGATACCAAGAAGTGAAGGAAAATGGCCGCCAACATATGGCTTCTATCATCACAAGAATAATTAACTGACTTAAACTCTCAATACTACGTAGTTGTAATAATACAATCAATAAGAATTACAACTAAATCATACATGACCGTCTGAGCTAGTTAACATAAGACGTGAGGACGAATGGCCGTCTTTTTAGCTTGAGTGTTTTACTTAGTCACTGTTAACTGTAGACATTCATGTCATCAAGGTTTGTATCTATTACAGCTGTTCTGTGTCAGGTACTCAGATAAATACAGTATTTATCATATATATATATATATCTCGTAGGAGAGACTGATTTACATGAAATTGCAAACATTGTATATGCGATCTGTCTGTGTCTGTCTGTCTGTCTCTCTCTCTCTCCCTCTCTCCCTCTCTCTCTCTCTCTCTCTCTCTCTCTCTCTCTCTCTCTCTCTCTCTCTCTCTCTCTCTCTCTCTCTCTCTCTCTCTCTGTATTTTTTCTGTCGTTTTGTCTTGTTAATATGTATTTTGTCAATTTTATGGGACAGGACTCAGCGTAAATTGTAAAACTTGCGTCCATTTCCATTGCATTCCTTACAATAAACTATGTTTAAATCAATGTATCTCCTACAGTGTCCGACACGTTGACGATTCAGGACTTCAGGTCTGGTTTGGGAGGCTGTTAAGTACAATATGTAATAGGTATAGGTTTCATGGAATAACAAATAACGTTATGTAAATATACAAGCTTAGATGGTTCTGTTTCCAGATACACAGTGTTTAATGTTAAAACAGGTTACCAATACCGTCTTACATCAATATATATCCACCAGGCATTCCTTGTATGGTTATAATACATTAACTAATATGATAGAATTATCAGGGTGAAATTTAAACTTATACCACGTTCTCACAGTTAATTTTACACGAGGTGACAATGTGTCTACTTTATATCATAGTTCTCTATTTAACTATCTACTTTTTACGTTGGATTCAAAACAGAAATAGAATGTAAACTTCAGTCATATAAGTTGATGGTGCGATGTATAGATATGACAACAATGAAATATGTCACCTTACGTAGAGAAATCATGTGACATTTCCTATATATATACATACCGATACATACATAGCCTGTGTGTAGTGATGTGAAAAACTTTAAATATGAACAGTTGGAAATAACTCAGTAACTACCCGGGAATGTGTGCCACGGTGTTGTCACACATGTGTCGGTACATGTTGATATATCTCACGTTATCATTGTAAGACGTTAGGCTAAAGGTCACGTGCGAGAAAGATGTCGGACTTGCAGTATAACTCTCGGCGGTCAGCTGTCGTGTGCTGTAATGGCTGTGTGGCTAGTAGTCAGCCATTGGCCAGTCAGGTGGGGACAGGTAAGTAGAACAAAGTAAAGTATCCAGTCTCGGTGATGACATGTCAGATGTAACAAAGTAACGCTGACAAATACCGTACATGTACATTAAAAACGCACAAATGTGTATGTTAGATATGCAGACGCATGTGTTTCAGTGTTCCTTTTAAAGTGTACGGCGTAGTATCGTGTAAGCGGCCGTGGTGAAGTGGGTACTGTCCCAGGCAGAAAAATCGTCTGCTTAAAGCGACGGGCTACTAATTGCTGCTGACGTTTTTATTACTGTTTTTTTTTTTCATTTAAATACACCTAGCCATCCCTACACTACCGGGTCTGTTGGTTTTAATTTTTTAAACACTTACAAATGTAAATTAATACCAAAATCTATCATAGACATGCTTTTTACTTAAGTACACATAATGACATCCATATCATTGTACGTACATACGTTCATGTTTACGATTTTTTATGTCATGAAGTTAGAGTAACCTCCCATTGGTCGGAGAGGTCTCCTTCCGGAATGACCAGCGATAAGCACTCCTCTGTCCAACCTTTGGGTTTCTCCAGAGATTTCCCTTCTTTATAAAGACACACTGCGGGTCACATCCGCGCGACACAACTAATCTATATAAATTCACTTTATCTGTTTAATGATTGTTGTTTAAAATAAGTTAGATATTAGCCATTTTTATTGACCAAATTCATTAATATGTTTCAACTATCAAGTAAGAAGTAAAGTTTAGTGGAGCTGTCAATATTTCCCAATAAAACACTAGAGCGACTCTCACGCTCGCTGCTCCTCCTACCTGTCGTCCAGGTACATTGATAGATGTAACACAGTTTCTTTGTCGATGTCTAGGTGAATGACACTATAAGATGGTTCTTATGTCCAATTATTCTCGGGACCCACTCTTCATAATACATTTCTCCTTTTAACAAATCGACAAAACAAACAGGCTCTATCGAAATGTCTTATTGATGAACATTGTGATTATTGTCGGGGGAAACTATAAGAATGGTATTTTATTTGTTTGAAATAGCAATGACTGTATACATTAGTGAATTTGCGTATGTGCAGAGGCATTTCATTGAATGGAAAGATCAAGACAAATTTTGTTGGAACTTCATGATGTCACTTCCTCCACAGATATTCTGAAAGCAGGAGGAAATGCTGCCGACGCAGCGGTTGCCATGGCAGCAGTCCTCAATGTGACAGAGCCGTGTTCCACAGGTATCGGTGGCGACGCCTTCTGTCTCTTCTACGACGCCAAAAGTAAACAAGTAAAAGCTGTTAATGGCAGGTAAGTATTATGTAACTGATGATTGCGCTCCCACATGGTCCTCGTCGGATCTTTCAACCTAGAGTTATGTATCATAACGGAAAATCATAGAAATCATGGCCAAAACGAACTCGTCTTAATATACAAAACGAACTCGTCTTAATATACAAAATGTCACTCGTCTTAATATACAAAATGTCACTCGTCTTAATATACAAAATGTCACTCGTCTTAATATACAAAATGTCAGGAGTCTTAATATACAAAATGTCAGGAGTCTTAATATACAAAACGAACTCGTCTTAATATACAAAATGTCACTCGTCTTAATATACAAAACGAACTCGTCTTAATATACAAAATGTCAGGAGTCTTAATATACAAAATGTCACTCGTCTTAATATACAAAATGTCAGGAGTCTTAATATACAAAATGTCAGGAGTCTTAATATACAAAATGTCAGGAGTTCGGGTCTGGAATTGTTTGTTGACTAATGTGATATTTTATTAAAACTAGTTTTTAACTGTTTTCTGTAACTGCTGAAACTTTAAAAATGATTGAATTTGTTTAGTGGCAGAGCTCCTGCTGCGCTGACCCTTGACCTTCTTCACAAACAAGGATTCAGCTCTTCTAGTCCTTTCCCTGTGCAACACGGTCACGCGGTCACGGTTCCTGGTGCAGCAGCAGCATGGGTTGACACGGTCGACCGATTCGGAAGTGGAAAGGTAAAAAAGACCTCGCCATACTTTCCTTATGCTGTTAAGGGGTTGAATATAAAATCTTAAGGCTTATGTCGGCATAATTTACATAATATCTCAAACGAAATGATGTGAGAAATGTAATAGATATACATCTCAACGCATAATGTTGTCGAAATTCAGGACTTCAAATTAGTCTGTTTGTCTTTCAGTTGAGTTTGACACAGATACTACAGCCCGCAGTGGACCTGGCAGAAAATGGTTACCCCGTCCAACAGATTACGGCTCTGCTGTGGAACAAAGGTAGAACATTGAACATATCTGGTACTACACGTATACAACGTTTACAAGCTATTTTACCTCCATCTTACCAGTACGATAAAAACTGGCTTTGAAAATCTCTAAAAAGCTGGGAGTTGTTCAATCTAAAACAAAAAAAGATAGTGCGTTCATTATATGTTAAATGAGAACGGGAAAACGATTCTCAAAAAAAAAAAAAAACAAAAAAATAAAAAACCGAAAAAAACAAAAACAAAGAAACAAAATAACCCCCCCTCCCCCCCCCAAAAAAAAAAAAAAAAAAAAACCAACAAAAAAAAAAAAAAAAAAAAAAAAACAAAAAAAAAAAAAAAAACGCCTCTTTGTTTTTTTAATGTTACAACATTAATGATGTTTGAAGTTTTACATCTGAAGAATAAATAAAACTACACGTTAACATTTTCCCCATATAATGGGCCCCCATTGACATTTGCCTTATTTTGCCATCCGAAGTTAAGACATTACCCCAGATAGATTGTAGATCGAGTGCTAGTGTCCTGTCCCTTGTCCCCCAGAAAACACTTTATCAATAATTATCTACAGCGTTGTATTGTGTTCGGAGAATTTTAGGTGACAGTTCTATTAGTGTACACTGGTAGGTGTGAAGTTCCCCTAGAGGAAGAAATATCCAAATGTGCTTACATTTCCATCACTTGGATGACTGAACCACTACATAATAAATCACAAGTTAGAAGCAACAGCATGATATTCTAGCTTGTCACTGTGATAACGATTCCGAGTTTTATTGGACACCTAAGGAAAGATAAACGTGCTGTCGGCCGTGTGGAGAGCAGCGGTGTGAATAATGCTTGTTTCAGGAGGATTTATTTATAAAAGACATTTCTTCATTTCTTCGACTGCTTGTTATTTTTACTGACTTAAATAGGAAACAAAATTGTATTTTATTAATAGCACACAATACAATTTCTGCTTTGTAAATGAAGTAAAACAAGACGTTTCCTGTCTACCTGTCTTTCCTCACGCGGTCTGTTTATAGCCAATTTTATATCAAGAAAGTTATATAAGGAATCCCTTGTCAAGTAGACATGTCACCAAACGTCGTACATCAAGATATTCAGACACAAACAATATCTTTGTTCCTATTTGTCGGACAAGGCTTATGTCACCAAAACAAATAGATCAAACCTATTACAAACCCAAAGCTGTGTTTCCGCCAAAATCCATGTCTTTGCGATATGTCATTACAGAAGTAGAAGGCGATATTGGAGATTGTGGAATGTAGACCTAGGAAACATGTTAGTGTCATATTACTGTATTGTAGGCGCCGAATCCTTACTTACTCCTAAGAATGATCATGGCCGTGACTTACTTGTTAATGGTCGGGCTCCGACGTACGGAGAAGTGATACGACTACCTTACCTCGCTCAGACGTTCAGGGTAATGTATCTCAATACTGGCACATACTATACATGCATGTGCAAACCTGCTGTTGCTATCTTTAAAATAATTCCTTACATTATGAATTAAACTACATTTTTTAATAAGTAAATGACCAGCCGGACATAGCAAAATGACTTCCACGCTTGTTTGTATGTAACAAATTTGTGTGTTGAAAATATTAAAATGATGGATGCCGTCGCTGAAGTAGAAGACGCTTGCTATTCCGGGGCATCTGGTCTTACTCCCCTTATACTTTTTCAAGAGTCTTTTTGTAAACCTTTTGTTCATATCATGTCCTTTATTTCCTTCTTTTTCGTAAGACTTGATATAAGATGTCTGTTTTCTTTTTTTATAACATTTTTCAAGATATTCAAGTTAACATATGGTTGGACTTCCTCAGGAATTAGGTACTCATGGTAAAAAGGGCTTTTATGAAGGGAGGATAGCAAAAGCCATTGTCGCTGCTGTTGAGAAGTTTGGTGGTGTCATGACAGCTGACGATTTACAGAATCACGTGACGACATTCGAAGATCCAATCAGCACTGACTACCGGGGATATCGTTTATGGGAAATTCCTCCTAATGGCCATGGCATGGCGGCTCTGATCGCTCTCAACGTCTTGGAGACTTACGATCTAAAACGTAATATATAAATTTTTCTTTTTTTCAAAATTCATCAAGATTCTAATATGATCCTTCTTCAGAAACTACCAGGCTATCATTTGCCTCAATCTCTGTAGTGAATTACTGTTTGTTTTCAGAACTTGGTGCCAATTCTGCAGAGTACCTTCATCTTGTGATTGAAGCGTTAAAACTGGGATTTTCGGATACAACTTGGTACTGTGCTGATCCTACCAAAGTTGATGTACCGCTATCTACGTTATTGTCTAAAGAGTACGCAACAAAGAGAAGACAACTCGTAACAAACAACAGGTAGGGTATTTACATATGTAGTTAGTTAGTGCTACATAAAATTTGATCTTGTTAATGGTTACTTATTGGCGATTAATTGTGTCTAGTACGGTATTTATGCTTTGATATTTGTATGAGGAGTAAAGATAACTTATATCCTGTCTAGAAGATATTACAGACACACAATTTCAATTTAGAGTAAGATACAGTAGAGCCACACAGCCACCATACACCTGTTTCGTCCTTTACGACTCGTAAGTGATGTTGCAACATATAGCTGTTTCGTCCTTTATGACTCCTCAGTGGTGCAAAGGGCTTAAAATTTTAAGCCTCAAAAACACAAAGTGATCAAAAGTCATAATCTAGATGGGCAGATGCATCATCTACATAATTATATTAATTTTGTCGTTTTCATAAATCCGATAAATTTAGTACATCATGTTTGTGTGTATATCATGTACCCAGCCATTCGAATGTATGAGTCTACTACCTGTGATCTCGATGACTGTACAAAAGACAAAAACAAATTGTATGTTAAAATTCGTTTTAGCAAATAGATATATAAGATATATAATAAAATATAAATTATGGCATGGTTCGGACATTACGTGCTCGGATTCACTAAGATGAAGCAAAAGACAGGTATTCTTCCGGAACGCTTGGTTTTATTCTCCTTGTGCGGATTTTCAGAAGTCTCCATGTAAATCTTTCTTAGGTTTAAACTAAGATTATGTTCTGACATGTTGGTATTTTTTATCGAAGGGCTATGAAGAACGTACAGAAGGGTGACTTAAATATCGGCCCCGACACTGTATACTTTACTACAGCAGATTCCGAAGGCAATGCGTGCTCTTTCATCAACAGTAATTTCATGGGGTTCGGATCGGCCATCGTTCCTGAGGGGTGCGGGTTTACTTTACAGGTGAGGTGTACTGTACAGTCAGTCTTACAAGTATTCCTACTGGGTAGTTTAAAACTTTGAAATTTGATTATTTTCCCTGTCATGGACTCAATCTATGACTTTAGACTCGGTGTCTGTCCCATCAGTATCCCAATTACATATGCCATTTGTTATGTGATATTCTCATTCAAACCTATTACAGTATATTGTATATCAGTTTTTGTATAGTATAACTTATCATGAACTGTAGTATTTGTTTTTCTTCTTTCTTACATTCTTTCCCAGTGAATTTTAGAAAAATATCTCATTGATAAAAGTGTTATTTTTTACTAGGAAAAATTAGCACTTTTTATAATGCTATTTTCCAGTATTATAAAAAACAGACATTTGCAGACGTACGCCAAGGTAAAGAGAGAACAGAAATCATCTGATCAAATTGACAAATCACAAAGCCCGGTACAAAAAAACCCCATAAAAATTAAAAAAAAAAAAAAAAAAAAAACTCGAAAAACATTAAAAAAAAAAACAAAGCCAGGAATATGAAGAGTTTGTTTACTTGTGAGAAGACTTTCAATTGCATGGTAAATGTCCATTTCCGTGAAAGTCAGCAAACGATGCAACACAAATAATCTTGTCAGAGATCAAATCCAATCCCTAACCGAACGTCTTGAATGTGAAGCTAACACGTTTCAAGGGGATTCGTGTCATCAATAGCGACAACTGTAGGTTTTCACTCTATTTTCAGCCGCGTAGTAACTTGTTACAGGTCAAAATCTCTGAACGTTTTACTGGAAATATTCTCTTTTAGTGTCAAGGATTAGTAAATGTTTTCTATGTGAATATGAAAATAGATTTACATTGAATTTCATTTTTGTGTTTGCATATTTTTAATGATAATTTTTTTTAGAAAACGGACTATATTATAATAAGTTATAATGAGTGAGTAGAGTCCAAGAAAAGCCTAGTCAGCTTCCTCGTTTTATATCAGTTCTAAACATGCCAGTGATTTGGCAACTTTACTTGTGAAAATGTAATAAATAGAATATCTAATAGTGTCTTCAGTAACGATAAAAAAATTCACTCGTTCGTCTAATATTTTTGTATCTTAAACTCATGCTGCGGATTGGTGAAATATACTAAGATATTAGACACATTTGTGAGATATATTTGTTATTACTGAAGACACTATTAAATACCCTCTATGTATCATGTGGTATCATCTTCTCAATCTGCATCACTTATCTCTATCGCGATATTGGTGTGTTGTATTAGTAAGCTTATATAGGTACTAACACTCATACCTATGTACCTATGTTTCATATAGAGGTCAAGTTCTAAATAAATATTGTATTGTTTCTTCGTGTACTCCATATCGTACACATTTTGGTGTTGTAGAACCGTGGCAGTGGGTTTTCATTGGACACTGTACATCCGAATGTGATCGCACCTGGTAAACGTCCGTACCACACCATTATCCCGGCAATGGTGACTGATTCCAACACAGGTATAACACGCATATCTTGATACATGCATGAGTTGTCTGTCCTTGAATTTGGATGGTAATAACATGAGTAATTTTTGTTTTTTTTATTTGCAGATATCGGTTAATCTTTATTTTTGTATTTGTGCTGTTGTCGTGTTTCACCAATCATTTCTATGTCCGCTCTATGTGTATCGATCGATAACATTTTACATCAGACCAGGAATGAAGTAATCACACGTATCAACATGTCGAGTACAGCTCTTCAGCAATGACATGCCGAGTACAGATCTTCAGCAATGACATGCCGAGTACTGCTCTTCAGCAATGACATGCCGAGTACAGCTCTTCAGCAAGGACATGCCGAGTACAGATCTTCAGCAATGACATGCCGAGTACAGCTCTTCAGCAAGGACATGCCGAGTACAGATCTTCAGCAATGACATGCCGAGTACAGCTCTTCAGCAATGACATGCCGAGTACAGATCTTCAGCAAGGACATGCCGAGTACAGCTCTTCAGCAATGACATGCCGAGTACAGCTCTTCAGCAATGACATGCCGAGTACAGCTCTTCAGCAATAGCAGTTTACATACACACAACAAACAAACATATGCCGACATGAATTGTCTTCAATGTGTTACGTACGACCAATTATCTCATAAATCTTGATCAAAAGGGAAAATCACTTAATAACAAAACTGCGAAATATGTTTACGTGTATGAATGTGTTGTTTATCACTCATTAGGCTAAAGAATCCACGTTCGGTGATGTAATTGGGAAACTAGCAGCAGGATTACCATTTCTTAATCAACCTGAAAACTAAAGAGCGTTTATTCGACTACAGCTGAAAGTTTTTACTTAAATAAACGACGTAAATGTTACTGCAACCAAATCGATAGTTTATCATCTTGATTTTTGTAATGTTTTGTTTACTACAGAAATGTAGCGTGTTTCAGCTTTCGTCAACTGATCGTTGTTGAATTGATGCGGCGTTAAATGGTTTACATACAACTAGTCTTACCTCGTTTTCTCAGCAATCAATTCAGGCTAGTAAAATATTTACTGTGTTAAAATCGGAGAGGATATATAAAGTAGCCCTTGCCCAATCATTTATATTCTTTATCATATACATGCAACTCGTGTTTTGAATATGGCAAAACGTATATAATTAGAGATTAAAAGTACATATGTGGGGAATAATTTGATGTTTATTATAACGCCTGTGTAACACCCACTATTGTAACGCGAATTCATCAACTACTGTCGCGGTATATATATCGGAATATTTTAAACACCAAGTATTAGCATAACCCACATGCAGGCACACAATGAGTTGAAGAACCTTGATAAAATGTCCATAACATAAAAAGACATATAAATGTGTGTAACGTAGGACGTATGTTTATGTTTTCATATTCGGGATTGTTTAATCTAGATATAATTGTGACCTCCGGTATGGTTTGGTGTATAATACAGAACTTGATATTATCATGTTACTGGCTTTGCTCTTCTTTTATTTTTAAAGGGAGAAATCTTTACCAACCTCCACGTCATTAGTAAGAGCACAAATATGACCGGAAACATTACTATCACACTCTTTTGATGACTTGAATATCCTTTCTAATAAAAATCAAATGAAATTCCGGAAACTGCACTTAATGACACATTCTCATTTTGTGCATTTATTACTACCAATAACTTGTATCTCATTTGATGATGCTAACTCCGCAGAAAATTACGTTAAAGAGTGATGTTCTCTCACCACTATTCTAGCCTAACCCAGTATTGTAACACGGTAGTGAGTTAAACATTGAGATGCGCTGCAAAATGGCTGCTATCACGCCAACTTGTTTGCAACTGAAGTTATAACTGAAGCAAATATGTAACGGTTAATAACAGTGAGATGTTATCCTCATGGTACTTGGGTTAGTATTGTCTTAACTTTTATTGTGATGGAAACAGATAAAGTGAAATCTATCTTTTATAGTGTAATTACTATTTTCTCCGGTAATTTACCTATGGGAACCATTTCTACATCTAAATATGTATGACCTTGATGTATTGGATCAATGAGAACGAGTTATCTACCCTTACAGGAGATTTGGTGATGAGTTACGGTGTAATGGGAGGTTACATGCAACCTCAAGGCCATGTACAGGTGTTACTTAACATGCTGGAATTTGGGATGAATCCACAGCAGGCTTTAGACCAACCACGAATTTGCATTGGCGGAGGATATGGGTAAGTTCAACGTCAGGTTAAACATTTTCTTTGTAACATGAGTCTTGATGTAATCAATTTTGATTTTAAGCGCACGCGCTTTTGAAAAGACACGTTATATATTCATAGTACTATGACAGAAACCTCTTTTTACGATAGCGGTACGGGAAAATGTCCCTACCTAAAGCCTTTACAGTGTTACTGAATGTATCTTAGATGAAACATAAGACGCTTTCAATTCTGGAGCCACTGGACCTTTTCTTTCTGTGCTTGTACAGGGTTTCCCGCTTAAATATTTCTGTTAGTACATGTTTGTTTCTGTTTAATTGATTTTGAGTTTGCATTAAGATTTTGTTGACATAGCAGTATTTTCTTGGTCGTTTTTATAACATAAATATTCTTATATATTTCTGTTGTTATGGTTTCCAGAATACTAGAACCATCTGTTATTATCATAGATATATAAATATCATGATCAATATATATTTGGTTTATCGCTCGGATGGACAGATTTGGGTTGGATACAACCGAATAAAACATGTTTAGTGACAAATGTAATTCCACGCCTTCTTCACTATGATAATATATTCTCATATATTGCTCCGATTGGCAGTGGATCTGAAGGTGTAAAAAGCGCGGTAAATAATTCTTCGTCGATGAAACAGAAGAAACGTATTCTTCTGGAGCACCTGGTCTTATTATCATTGTTTTTTTAGGAGTTTCCGTGTATGTTGAATTTGGGTTTGGATTATGATAATGTTGACATGTCGTTATTTCTTGTTATTTTCCGTTCGATAGTATTGGAATGTAATTGAATTAAAGTCCTTACGTACGAAATACCGTTAATCCTTAATTTTATTAGACAAAACCTAGCATTCAAACAAAAGCGATTCAAAGTCTCTGGTGATCTGTTCTACATTTTACTTCCCACCAAGAACGTGTGTTAAATTGTTACGCTTTTAAGCCATATCACATAATCTTTCAAATTAAAGTCTGCACGTGTCGTATACTATGCCAACCACGTGTTAGCATATATGTCAAAGCGACCATAAAAACCATTTTGTTGTCGATCGATTGTGATGTTATTTCAAACATATGGGAAGAGTAAGACATGCGGAAAGTAAAAGAAGTTGATATATTGTAAATTGTAGCTTGGTTCTGGCTTCCGTCTCCGTGTAAATCTTTCTTTGTTCATATTTTGCGATAGTTGTAAGGAATTCGAATTAGAATTATGAGTTTGTCTCCATGTCGGTATTTTCTTGATGCTTTTTTCCTCATGTACCTCAAGAGTTTGGAGTGAACATAACGGGTTCGTCATGAGCAGTTAAACTTGAATACAGATTGTCTACAGTTTGGAGTGAACATAACGGGTTCGTCATGAGCAGTTAAATTTGAATACAGATTGTCTACAGTTTAGAGTGAACATAACGGGTTCGTCATGAGCTGTAAAACTTGAATACAGATTGTCTGTAGGTTGGAGTAAACATAACGGGTTCGTCATGAGCAGTTAAACTTGAATACAGATTGTCTACAGTTTGGAGTGAACATAACGGGTTCGTCATGAGCAGTTAAACTTGAATACAGATTGTCTACAGTTTGGAGTGAACATAACGGGTTCGTCATGAGCAGTTAAACTTGAATACAGATTGTCTACAGTTTGGAGTGAACATAACGGGTTCGTCATGAGCAGTTAAACTTGAATACAGATTGTCTACAGTTTGGAGTGAACATAACGGGTTCGTCATGAGCAGTTAAACTTGAATACAGATTGTCTACAGTTTGGAGTGAACATAACGGGTTCGTCATGAGCAGTTAAACTTGAATACAGATTGTCTACAGTTTGGAGTGAACATAACGGGTTCGTCATGAGCAGTTAAATTTGAATACAGATTGTCTACAGTTTGGAGTGAACATAACGGGTTCGTCATGAGCTGTAAAACTTGAATACAGATTGTCTGTAGGTTGGAGTAAACATAACGGGTTCGTCATGAGCAGTTAAACTTGAATACAGATTGTCTACAGTTTGGAGTGAACATAACGGGTTCGTCATGAGCAGTTAAACTTGAATACAGATTGTCTACAGTTTGGAGTGAACATAACGGGTTCGTCATGAGCAGTTAAACTTGAATACAGATTGTCTACAGTTTGGAGTGAACATAACGGGTTCGTCATGAGCAGTTAAACTTGAATACAGATTGTCTACAGTTTGGAGTGAACATAACGGGTTCGTCATGAGCAGTTAAACTTGAATACAGATTGTCTACAGTTTGGAGTGAACATAACGGGTTCGTCATGAGCAGTTAAACTTGAATACAGATTGTCTACAGTTTGGAGTGAACATAACGGGTTCGTCATGAGCAGTTAAACTTGAATACAGATTGTCTACAGTTTGGAGTGAACATAACGGGTTCGTCATGAGCAGTTAAACTTGAATACAGATTGTCTACAGTTTGGAGTGAACATAACGGGTTCGTCATGAGCAGTTAAATTTGAATACAGATTGTCTACAGTTTGGAGTGAACATAACGGGTTCGTCATGAGCAGTTAAATTTGAATACAGATTGTCTACAGTTTGGAGTGAACATAACGGGTTCGTCATGAGCTGTAAAACTTGAATACAGATTGTCTCTAGGTTGGAGTAAACATAACGGGTTCGTCATGAGCAGTTAAATTTGAATACAGATTGTCTACAGTTTGGAGTGAACATAACGGGTTCGTCATGAGCTGTAAAACTTGAATACAGATTGTCTACAGTTTGGAGTGAACATAACGGGTTCGTCATGAGCAGTTAAACTTGAATACAGATTGTCTACAGTTTGGAGTGAACATAACGGGTTCGTCATGAGCTGTAAAACTTGAATACAGATTGTCTCTAGGTTGGAGTAAACATAACGGGTTCGTCATGAGCAGTTAAATTTGAATACAGATTGTCTACAGTTTGGAGTGAACATAACGGGTTCGTCATGAGCTGTAAAACTTGAATACAGATTGTCTGTAGGTTGGAGTAAACATAACGGGTTCGTCATGAGCAGTTAAACTTGAATACAGATTGTCTACAGTTTGGAGTGAACATAACGGGTTCGTCATCAGCTGTAAAACTTGAATATAGATTGTCTACAGTTTGGAGTGAACATAACGGGTTCGTCATGAGCAGTTAAATTTGAATACAGATTGTCTACAGTTTAGAGTGAACATAACGGGTTCGTCATGATCTGTAAAACTTGAATACAGATTGTCTCTAGGTTGGAGTAAACATAACGGGTTCGTCATGAGCAGTTAAATTTGAATACAGATTGTCTACAGTTTGGAGTGAACATAACGGGTTCGTCATGAGCTGTTAAACTTGAATACAGATTGTCTACAGTTTGGAGTGAACATAACGGGTTCGTCATGAGCAGTTAAACTTGAATACAGATTGTCTACAGTTTGGAGTGAACATAACGGGTTCGTCATGAGCGATGAAACTTGAATACAGATTGTCTGTAGGTAGGGTGGGGCAATGCTATAAATGTATCTCTCTTTAAGTCAAGCAGCTTTAACAGGATATGACAAAGAAAAATGAAATGAAATTAAAAGTGTCGTTAATTGTTATTTCTTACTATTTATGATCTGTAGGTACGATGAGAGCTACGTATCTGTGGAGGACGGGATACCTACCGAGGCTGTCGAAGGCTTGGTTGATAAAGGTCATTCAGTGCGGGGTCCATTAGTTGCTGCAGACCGAACTCTTTTCGGGAAAGGACAAGCCATCGCTGTTGGCAATTTTTGGGACCAGTCTGACAACTCCGCTCAGCGAAAAGCTGAATGTATATATTGGTGTGGATCGGATCCAAGGGCTGACGGATTGGCAATAGGTTTTTGACGTCTTACCTTGACCTAGTACAGACGACACACTCAAAGGGCATTTGTTAATGACCTGACGACGGATGTTCATTCAAGTATTCATGTCGCACTGATACGTCTCATTCATTTTATGTGCTTTATTTCTAAAGAAAGTGTTCAATTAATCTGCATATTTTCCGTACTTACAATCTACCTCTCACAATGACACTTTCACAGACTTCATTAGTACCGTTATTCATTTCCAACGACAACAAATATTTCCGCAACTGTTTATATAAATATCGTCTTTAGATAACACTGGGGCATAGACATCCTGCCAAACCACTTGGTGTAGAGGTTTACAATTGTTCTATAATATGGGAAAATCATATAAAACTATGTTTGTATCCATCTTTGAGATTTTGAAATACAGCACACGATGAGCATAACGTATCATTTCTGAAGTGTAATTTTGGTAAACATTCTGACAAAATTCAGGCTACACAAAAGTAAAATCATGATTAACCAGTCAATCAGATTGATTTTCATAATCAAGTTTAGTAGTTATTCTTCAAATTGAATGTTGCATCATATAAGCTGCAATAATATATAAGTATGATGCTTTCTAGAATCCATCAGTAGCGATTAAGATTGAAAAACGTAAAGCAGCTGTCATGATTTTTTGGTACATATTTGTTTTCAAATGACCAACTTTTGGGCTTCAGCAAATTTCGAGAAGGCTAGATGACCATTCTTAGGAAAGAACTTTACCGTCGAATTTGAAGGGAAAAGGTCATTTGTTGTTTTAAATGTCATCCTTACTGAAAACAAAATACAAAATAATGAGAGAAGTGATCCAGTCTTTTAACACTCGGACAAATATTAAACAATTCATCCTTACTTTTATTTTGACACTCAAAATTGATCTTTTGAATCAATATACGGTAAATATAAACTTGCACTTTCGCCACCACACGAGAATAAATACATTTTTCCCATTTTTATCATTAATGTAGAAAAATGAAACGATCAAGACCATTTCTGGACAATAGCATTCTCTCCCAAAATTTTAATGAGTAAACATTTCTTGCTGGCCTTACCGACATAACTACTTCGATGTGTGTTTATAAGATGTCACTGCACATCTTATAAACACACAAAGCTGAATCGCACACCAATTAAAGAGTGTGTCACTCATTATAAGTCTTAGAGAAGGTGTAGATTTTGGTGCAAACTTAGAAGTATATGTATTTTGGTAGTTAAAGTTTTCAGAAGGAGTTTAATTTTGGTATATGTTGACAAGTCTTAGACAGTGTGTACTTCAGTGTAAGGTAACAAGTCTTAGGGATTTAGAGAATTTAAGTATAGAAAAAGTGTATTTCAGTGTAAGGTGAAAAACCTTAGGGATTGAGAGGATTTAAGTATAGAAAGTCTGTATTTCAGTGTTAGGTGACAACCCTTAGGGATTGAGAGGATTTAAGTATAGAAAAGTGTATTTCAGTGTTAGGTGACAAACCTTAGGGATTGAGAGGATTAAAGTATAGAAAGTGTGTATTTCAGTGTAAGGTGACAAACCTTAGGGATTGAGAGGATTTGAGTATAGAAAAATTGTATTTCATTGTAAGGTGACAACCCTTAGGGATTGAGAGGATTAAAGTATAGAAAAAGTGTTTTTTAGTGTTTTAAAATGCTTAAAACCAGCGTTTATTTTTGCGTAAGTTTTAAACCCTTAAAAGTGTTTATATTTTATAACAAACCTTTGAGAGACATTAGACAATGTGTGTATTTATTGTAAGTTAACAATCCCCAGATACTGTATGCATTTTTGTGTATGTTTACAAGCCTAAGAGTTTTATATTGTGTTTTTTCCAATATAAAGTAATGTTTATGCATCGGTATTTGTGTAAGGTAAATTTTGTGAGTGCAATATGGTGAAATGTTACCAACGTTAAAGACAGAAAGTAATTTTTTATAAATATATTTGTATGACGAGATGTGCCAATATTAAAGCGCCTTGCAGTATGTATAACTTAATTATCATTTAAGAGACAATATCCTTTTCCTAATAGGTACTATAGTTGCAGTTTTGAGTTTTTATTTGTCGATAGGTATATATATTGTTAGGTTGTACTTAGGTGTAAAATGATTTAGTGGGATAAATTATTTTACAGTGTTCTGCAGGCTTACATTCTGATATAGACGTCTGTTACATGTTCATTTTATCTGGTTTGTAAAATGTGCGTCCTCAGTTTTTTAAAAATGTTATTGTAGTAAATTTGGTTGTGAGGAAGGCTTATTTCTAAACAGGAAATTATGATTACATTGTATATGGTAATATAAAAAACGTTATATACATTTTTAAATTTTAATATGTATTTTTATGGTAGTTACAATTTTACTCAAGAAACAACGCATTAAATTATGAAATACATTCAGATGTGTGTTGTTATCTATTCTTTGCTGTCATAATGTATAAATTGTTTACAGTTTTAATCCTGTTTACTTTTTCAGTCATGGACATGTCTAGTCTTCAAACACGTGTTTTCGTATTTTATATGAAAGTTAGTCATTTGTCACTGTCACATGCATATGCTAAATAATGATGAACTTTTATTACTACCGTACTATTATGTTACTATCAGTAATTCATGTAAAATCACTAGTTATTCTATAAATAACGCTTATCTCTATATTATGTGCATTTGTAAGCGAAACAAGAAATATATCAAATGATGTCCGTTTGTAATAAACTTATTTGTAAGCTGAAATTAGTGCCCTTAAGTGTAGGTGTAAAAATTGCATATTTCGCATGTCTTTCCTTTGAATACCACAATAGTAGATCGAAAATATTGCTTGACGTTTTTCACACTAATTATATTAATCATTAGGAGAAAGAATCACATATAACTTATAAGATTTTCAGCGTTGTTCTCATTAAACAACAGTGATACGAGCTGATTACGTAATCCTTGTACTTTTTCAGGTGTCTCCTTGTAAATCTTTCTTTTGTTCATGTTTGCCTTAGTATTATGGAATTATGATTATGTCGACATGTTGGTATTTTCTTGATTGTTTTTGTGTCTTTTATAAAATGAAATACACATTCTTGTGTCATTACTGAAGTACAGCACCCATTTTAACTCCCACACTCGTTGTATTAACGGTTTCTGGTGTAGCATTGAGTACATCAACATTGTCACATGTTCAAAAGCAGATAGCATGATCCATACTACATAGCAGTAATTGACAACAGCTTAACTCGGGTTTCTCCATTGGGTGCGATTGATGTTGCAAATGTCCATAAATGTGAAGAGGGTTTGGCGCTACCCTTCTGATGGACGGGTCGGGGAATGCCAAAACAAGGTAGGATGTGCTTTGAGTCATCATTTATCTTCTGCGTTGTCCCTCTTGGAATCTAGCAGGGACATTTTGGAAACTTACAGCAACGGAAACATTGTTACGATACAAAACTAAACCATGCATTCTAAAGTATCATTTTATTACGAATAATCTTTAGTGGAGCTATTGTTTACAATAGAAAAAGAGCGGGTTTTCATGGCACCGTTCCTTGTTGTCACATTGCTTATGATACATGTTATATGACCTTTCTTTACGAAGAAAGGCGATCGGTGGAGATTACAAACGTGAGATATACTGGCACACTAAAACGTACGTCCAATGTCGCAACGATACTGCGAACAAGATCTCCGTTGACTTTGGTATAAGAATTTCCAACACAATACTGACATACCCATCGGAACATATTGTGCCGTTCTCTTGATTTTTTTTTATATCATACGAGGCTAAATTAATTGACGGCTTATCTAACCAATCTCTCATATCCGCTATTTGATATACATATGATATCTTGTGTTTAAAGTAACGAAAAGAAGACTTTACATCTGTATCAGGCGCCATTTTAGGTTTCGATGACCTCCGCTTGGAATTTTTGACTTCAAGGTTGTTTCAATTTTGCTTCCGCACTTACGATGTTTACATATCGCAGTTAATTCGAGAATATGATAAACTTCCTCAATGTCACGCTTTTCCTGCAGTTTGTCGGCAAGTGACAGACAAACTTACAGCACATGATTTCGAGGAATTCAAATTCACTAACGGTAGTCATACTGATATCATTATGAAATGTTCTAGTTCTCGGTGTGATTTCCATTAAATGTGTTTGATGCTGTTTTGTGTGGTTGCGTTGTTGTTTACTTGTTTACAGATATTAGCATGATGGATGTTGTCAATAAAGCAGAAGACGTGTACCCTTTTGGAACACATTTTCCTTGGACATTTTCAGGAGTATTCTTGTTCTTCTTCATTTTGTTCCTATTTTACCACAGTGTCATCGACTTTATTGCATAATTAAGATCAAGTGTCAGTATTTTCTTTGTTGTTTTGGACTGACTGGGATTTAGATGGCGGGTATGATCGATTGAGCACCAGATGATCAAATTTCTAGTCTTATTCTTCTATTTCTCGACGGTCGCCGCGAAGACATATTTTTTTCTTTTTCGTTCTCGGCGTTTAATTTTTATAAATAAAAATACTTTTTTAAGATGTTCTTTAAGTTCTCTAGTCGATATCACTAAAAATGTTTTTGTATTCATGTTTATATGGCCGATGATGACAAAAGTAAAAAGGGAAAAATATATAATAGAAATCAGGTTCGGTCGATACACTATTGTGATAAATTTCAAAAATGCTATGAAAATGCAACCTGGTTGTTGGGTAACATTTTAACCTGCGAAGCTTTTCACTGTAGGGCAATAGGTACCTACAGTCAGTGCTTGGTTATACGATGATACTTACATACATAGACTTTCTTTTTCAATATAAATGTTGATAAAGAAAGATTGCAGTTGTACCATGCCTTAATACATTTGAGTAGTGAAATCACGTGAAATATCTCATTTCAAACTGCCTTTCAACCACAGCTATGTTCCCAATGTTGAGATGATTTTTTGAGTTCGATTCCCGAAACGGACGTGAAAAGTTAGGTGGCCACCTGCTCGACACCGTGGGTTTTCCCCGGGT